TTCTGCTGGCACAGCTCTTCCCACCTTTGTGCTTTCTAGCCATGTTGGAATACAACTTCCAGAAAGCACAAAGGTTATCCAGGTCCTATTGTAGTTTAGAATGAATAATTTTCTACCAGGTGCTTCCACGATGAGCGTTTTATTATACAAGTGCCCTGTCTCTTTGTCAAGAAGGTAGATGCTAACAGTCTTCAATTTGAAAAGCTCATGTGTTTTCTGGTCACTTTTGCCTCCCCCTCCCACCCCCAAGAAGATTTCTTTTCAGGTGAGAAACGTAGAATGAGTGCAGCGTGTCTTTGTATGCATAACCCAAAGAGCCATCTGTGTTCTAATTCACTTTCCACAACCTTTTCCTTTCTGACCGAGCGTTTTTGGAAACAACACTTCTGGACTTCCAGCTGGGGAAATCCATTCTAATAAAAAATATTGTTGTTTGCACTTTTGATAATCCAAATGTTGACTGAATGCTTGCATTTACTTTTTTATTTGCAATCCACTGAAAAGTGCCCTTCGGCTTCGTGTATTTGTTGAAGCTTGCTTGTACAACAATAAATGTCAAGGCTGCTTGATGGAAATATTGAGGCTTTGAAAAATGCCAGATTTTCAGTGACAAGCTCTCTCTTGCTTTATGAACGTATATACCTCTGCTACGCCTGTAACCTATCGACCCAAGTATTTTTAGATGCAACATTAACATTCCTTCAAGAGAGGAACGGTCCCACATTTGGAAAAATATCAGGTAATTTGACAGGTGGCTCAGGCTCCTTTCACTAAGTCCCAACACCCATAAAAAGTAATTTTTTCCCATAGCAGACAAAACAGCACTTAAAAGGGGAGAGAAAAGAAGCTCTCCATCAAAAAGGAGCCAAGTTTGAAAAACATTACTTTGTCCTGCTCTGAATGAATAGCAACACCAGCACTCTCTGGAAAGGTGACTGGAGTATAACATGGTTTGTGAATGAAGATAACACAGGTTGTTTATTCAGTTTAGTACATAAACTGCTTGATCATCCATGCAATTCTAGATGACATGAATGATTTAAGAAAGAATAAAATATGTTAAATTTGGCTGGCATACTTTTCTTCTGGCTGAAGGACTGGGTTAAGCCCTATTAAAGATACCTGGCTGTATTTTAAGTGAGAAAATAGGTGTAATGGATTATTTGAGTTTGTTGATCTCCCCAAATGCCAAAGATGATCTTAGTTACAACAATTATAATGAATCTCTTATTATCACATTATTTTCATCAAATGATACTGAACAAAACTGTTGAATAAATATTAAATGTCACAATGGATGAAGAACTCAGATTCTTAGCAACAGAACTGTAATACTGCGTTGCTAGTCATGTGTTGCTTATTGCAATGAAGAATATTTGTAGCTCAGGATGGAAACGAGGCGTCCTTGGCCTCCCTCAGCTTGCTTGTTTTCTTGCAGACGTTTCAATACCCTAATTAGCATTGGTGATGTTACCTAGTTAGGGTAATGAAACGTCTGCAAGAAAACAAGCAAACTCAGAAAGCACCAAGGACTCCTCGTTTATTGCAATGCAACCAATATGCCCACTGTCAATGCTGGACCTATACTGTACATCCCAGGTGAAAGAAGGCAACCATTACAAACACAACAATACCGAAGGTCAAAGAAGTGATAGAATGCATTTCAGGAATGATATTTTCTCCTTTTTGCAAAATTCCTTCACTTGCAACTGAGCTTCTTCCTAATGAAAGCAAGCAAACTCTAGAGTCCGCTAAGATTACAGCTAGACAACTAGATTTGGAATCCTCGTGTTCCCTGATTAGTTTCTGATTAGTCTAAAAAAAAAAAGAGCAGTGTTTCTCAAGTTTGGCAACTTTAATTCAAGTGGACTTCAACTCCCAGAATTCCCCCAAAGAGCCATGCTGCCTCGGGATTTCTGGGAGTTGGAGTCCAAACGAATTAAAGTCGCCAAGGATGAGAAATACTGCTTTAAGAGAAGAAGCCGCACTTCCTTTCCCCTTAATTCACCGTTTTTGGATCAGAACCACGGAAGTAGAGAATAACCTGCTTTAGATGTCATAAGGGAATGTGGTCACAAAGAGTTGGAACTGTTAAAATTCCGTACACCTGAAGTTGAGGGTCTTAAGGTGTCGGTCGTTACGACCGACACCTTAAGACCCTCAACTTCAGGTGTACGGAATTTTAACAGTTCCAACTCTTTGTGACGGAATGTGAAGTCTCAGGGCACGAGTGTTATCTTAGCGCCCTCATCGCTTACATTGCTCTTCTCCGTTTTCATTGGCTTAGCGCTCGCGGATGGGCGTAGCTTCCTCTTTCGGGAACAGAGGCTTCTTTTCCTAACTTCCAATCCGTCCGCGGCACTACGCGCATGAGCAGTTTGGATCCTCGTCTGTTGACCGAACGTTAGGGGCCGTTGGTGACGGTTCGAAAGGGGCGGGGGTGGAGGCGGAGTTCTGTTCTGGGAGGTGGCAAATTGGAGCCAATGAAAAGACGGGAGGATCTGGGGAGCAGGGGTTCCAGCACATTACAGCCAATCAGAAAACTCGTGGACGCTGAACGGGCTGAAACGTGGGAAAGGTGTGTAGGGGAGCTGCTTCGAAGGGCGGGCGTTTGCCTTGGATCGCCAATTTTTATTTCTTATTTGGGTTTACTGTTTCTCTCATTAAGAGCTGGGGGACAAAAATTGGAATTGACCCAAAGGAGGCTTCATGCGCAGGTACCTATGAAATGTACAGCAACGTAGCCAGGAGAAGTACATTACAACTTAATGTGGGGCAATCTGGGTTGTCTTGAATCGCCGATCCTGTAGGGAATCCTTAGCTTTTTAGGGGATGGTTTATGCTGGATTTGCCAACCAGGAAACTAGATTAGAAGTATATACCATAAATTACTCCGAAACAAAGCACTGCACGAAATAACGTGAATGATGTTTCATCAGATTGTTTTAAAAAACAAGAGTCATAAAAGAAGATTTAAAAATCTAATAAAGGAAAAAAAAACAAAAACCCATCCTGCAGTTGCTTATACAGGAATTAAAACAGAGAATCAGATTGTGGCTAAAACAACCTTCAGTGGAGATTGCAGCTTCCTGTCATGTGGAGTCCCATGTTGGTTGCCTGGCCCTAGCTAGCCTAAAGCATCTGAGATTGTAAACCAGTTTTTAAGCCAGTTTTTTTTTTTCCAAACTTGGCAACTTTAAGATGTGTGGACTTCAACTCCCAGAATTCCCCTGTCATAGACACTCACAAATCTGTTCAGGTTATCCCTCTTGGATAATGGAATGATCTCCCCCAGTGCTTGTCTACAGGTAAATAAATAATAGGCTCAATGAGAAATAAATTGGAATGAATCCAAGCAAACTGAAAGGGGTTTTTTTTTTTTTGTAAGGGGACATGATCTGGAAGATGGAAGTCTGCTCCTCTTCCCAAGAAAAAAATATGTGATCTCAAGTGTTTCAGGCTGACGCTTTTATCAACTGAAACTGATTTGGTAGCTCCAGACTTTTCTTGAAAAAAAAAAGATCTTTAAACAGGTTTCCTACAAAATAGAATTCTGTAATATGCACTATATAGTGAAGCAAATATACATACCACACATCTGTGTGTACTGTAGTTCAGAAATTTCAGTAAGGTGGCAGAATTTTTTTTTATAGGGCTATTTAGAAAAAAAGTGATTTGTCTGTTCTTCAATAGCTAGAATGATTTCCTGTAGATTTCCAGATAAAATACTGTATAAAGCATTGGCTGTCATCTTAAACCCCTAAATTAGGTTAATTTTACTTAAGAGAAGGCCATTTTATATACAGTAATTGCTATTCTGCAATAATGGGAAAGTACTGTATGCTATTTCTCTATGTCAGTGTTTCTTAAACTTTTTTTTCTTTTAGAATTCCTTCCCATTTTTTTAAATTACGGAGAACTCCAAAAGAGCTATTGTTTATATGGGTTATATTTATTGATATTTACTATATTAAAAATTGATACATTCACAGCCATTACCACTTCTCACAACTGTTTGATAGGATTTTAATATTGTATTATCTTTCAACATAGGCTGGCAAATAATTTAGATTTTATGGATCACTGAGAGAGTCTTGGGGACCCCCAGGGATGCCAGGATCACCCTTTAAGAAATGCTGCTTTATGTAATCCTTCTCAGATAGTGGAATTATCTGGAAAGATACTCTTGAGTGTCATCAACTCATCAGATTGTGACTTGTGATCAGTCCTCTGTCATTGGACAGCCATGTGGTATAGGGCAATGATGGCGAACCTATGGCACATGTGCCAGAGGTGGCACTCGGAGCCCTCTCTGTGGGCATGCACGCTGTCACCCCAGCCCCACCTCCCCCCGCGGCCCCCTCCACACCAGCAGCCCCCCTGGAGGAGAGTCGCCCCCCCAGGCGCGGCCTACACAGAGCATGCAGCCAAGCACATAGCTGGACAGCAGGGACAAGACTCTGTCCTTGCGCCCCATAGCGTGCAGATGATGCTACGGGGTGTGGGCGGAGGGCGTGGCTGCCATGGTGCTGCAGGGCTACCTGGACAATCTGCTGCGGTGGGCCATGGAGGCGGTGTGTGGCCCTGCGGCTGGGTGGGGCAGGGGGTGGACGGGCAGAGCAGGCAAGGCAAGAGGTGGAGTGGGGGCGGTTTTTGGGCATTCGGTCTCTAAAAGGTTCGCCATCACTGGTATAGGGTCTCCTATTTGAGCAGAGGGTTTGACTAGAAGACCTCCAAGGTACCTTCCAATTCTGTTATTCTGTTATTTTCAGTCATTGCCTTTAGGGTTATGGGGCATTTTTCCTTAATCAAGGGTCTAGCATCTTTAGAGTCCTGCAGAGAAGCCTTCACTTGTAATAGATTTAATTAATTTTCACATGAGTGTTCTGTTCACTTGATAGTGAATTTTTGTTTTAATAATGTATTTAAACTTTAAATGAGTAGAATTGAAATTATTACTCAAAGTGTTTGTATATTTTGAAGGATTGTGAAGTGAGGCCATGGCCAAGAGGAAAGATTCAGACAAGCACCTGGACCCCCCTGCTGTGTTCCAGACTACAAGGCCAACTGGTAAAGAATCAGCAAATTCCTTCTTAGAGATAACCTTGATAACCTTGATAGGTTGTTGCTCTGGTTGCAATTTCTAAGTCAGCCTACTTAATGCATTATGTGTGTTCTGTAGAAGTGTACCTGAAGCCCATTAAGAACAAAGCAAATTTACTAGATTATTTCCTGAGACTAACCACAAAAGGCATAACTTGCCAATTGGTTAAATTATGAAGCTGATCCACTTTTGGCTTCTAAAGCCTTTACAGGGCCAGTTTGGTATAGTTACCGAAACAGTAGGCTAGAAAAATGGGAGACTGAATTCTAGTCCTTCTTTACTCAAGCTGGGTAACCTTGAGCCAATCACTGCCTCTCACTCCAAGAAGGAGGCAATAGCAAATTACTTCTGAAATCTTGCCAAGAAAACTGCAGGACTTTTCTAGGCAGTCATCAGGAGTCAATATTGACTTGAAGATGTACATGTACAAACACCCACCCACACACAGTGCTAGGCTGCATTAACAGAGGGATAGAATCAAGATCATGTGAAGTATTAATACCACTTTACAATGCCTTGGTAAGGCCACACCTGGAATACTGCATCCAGTTTTGGTCACCACGATGTAAAAAAGATGTTGAGACTCTAGAAAGAGTACAGAGAAGAGCAACAAAGATGATTAGGGGACTGGAGGCTAAAACATACAGTATAAGGAACGGTTACTGGAATTGGGTATGTCTAGTTTAACGAAGAGAAGGATGAGGGGGGACATGATAGCAGTGTTCCAATATCTTAGGGCCTGCTACAAAGAAGAGGGAGTCAGGCTATTCTCCAAAGCGCCTGAGGGCAGGACAAGAAGCAACGGGTGGAAACTAAGCAAGGAGAGAAGCAACTTAGAACTAAGGAGAAACTTCTTGACAGTTAGAACAATTAACCAGTGGAACAACCTGCCTCCAGAAGCGGTGAATGCGCCAACACTGGAAGTTTTTAAGAAGAGACTGGACAGCCATTTGTCCGAAATGGTATAGGGTTTCCTGCCTGAGCAGGAGGTTGGACTAGATGACCTCCGAGGTCCCTTCCAACTTTATCACCATCATCATTATTATTATTATTATTATTATTATTATTATTATTATTATTATTATTATTATTATTAAACAGTCCTATATCTCACTATGGTGGTCTCTGACCTCTGAGGATTTCTGATACTCTGTGATAAATTGATCAGGTAGCCAGAAAAGCAGAGAGAGATCTGTGTTTTTCATTTCTTTTGATTTTTTTCACTCACCTAGTTTACAAAGGTAGCACAGGTACACTTAAACCAGCACCAGAGCTGTCTGGGTAAAACTAAGATCCCCATTCTATTGTTTTCATTAACAACTAGCGGATTTCTTATCTGGTGAGAACCTGGCTTAGCATTATACATCCAAATAGAAAACCATTATCTAGGTGTTTTTTTCTCTTTTTTTTCCTCCCCTAGGATTTAGAGAATTGGTTCCACCTTCACATTTCCAGAGCCAATCAGCACCACCTCCAACAGTGGCTACTACTGGGCCCTGGGGAGCCACAGCTTACCCTAGCTGGGAAGAGGTTGGTGAACTCAGACGAGAGAATTTGCGTTTGAAAAATGAACTCCAAAGAAGGACCACAATAGTAGATAAGACAGAAGACTCAAAAGATAAAACCAGGTGAACAATTTGGTATCTTATTTATTTTCTCTCAACCTTTTAATTCTGCGCGCAGTCAGTGAGCTGGGAGAGGGAATTACTAGAAGATGGCTTTGAACTATTTCTGAGCTGAACGACTGAAAGTGGCACCTTTCAGATTCATTATATTGTTTTCTTTGGACAATCTACAGGTAGTCCTCCACTTACGACCACAATATAGCCCCAGTTAAGTGGTGTTTGCTCCATTTTATGACCTTTCTTGCCACAGTTGTTAAGTGAATCATTGCAGTTAAATTAATAACATGGTTGTTAAGTGAATCTGGCTTTCCCATTGACTTTGCTTGCCAGAAGGTCACAAAATGTTATCACCTTACCCTAGGACAGTGGTGGCGAACCTATGGCACGAGTGCCAGAGGCGGCACTCGGAGTCCTCTCTGTGGGCACGCACACCATTGCCCCAGCCCCGCCTCCCCCCACAGCCCTCTCCTCACCAACAGCCCCCCTGGAGGAGAGTTACCCCCGGGTGCGGCCCGCGCAAAGCAGCGCAGCCAAGCACATGGCAGCTGGCCAGAAGATGATGCTGTGGGGCGCGGGCAGAGGGTGTGGCCACCATGGTGCTGTGGGGCCGCCTGGGCGATCTGCGGCAGGCTGTGGATGGCCCTGAGGGCGGGCTGGGTGAGGGCGAAGCAGGACGGGCTGAGCGGAGGCGGGGCGGTTTTTGGGCACTCGGTCTCTAAAAGGTTCACCATCACTGCCCTAGGAAACTGCAGCCGTCACAAATACATGTCAGTTGCCAAGCGTCTGAATTTTAATCACGTAACCACGGAGATGCTGCAACGGTTGTAGGTGTGAAAAAACGGTCAGTTATTTTTTTTTCAGTGCCATTGTAACTTTGAGTGGTCACTAAACGAATGGTTATAAGTCAAGGACTATCTGTAAATCAGATCAACCCATTTATGGTCTCTGACTCACGGCTTTTAGAAGGAAAATCGTATGCATTCCGTTGTTCCTATTACTGAGTGAGCAGTGCCTAGAACTGTCCTTCCTAATCTAGATGCCCTTCAGATTGAATGGACATCAGATATTTGGATTCTCAGCAATAGCTATGATGGCTGGAAGATTCTGTGAACTGAAGCTCACACATCTAGAAATCTATGGAGTTTCTCAGTCATCCAGGTCATAATTGTCCCAAAGATGCTTTTTCACGAGGCAATGGGACGTTCTTGTTTTTCCTGGAAGACGTTTTGCTTCTCATCCAAGAAGCTGAAGACGCTTCTTGGATGAGAAGTGAAATGTCTTCAGAGAAAAACAAGGACGCCCAGTTGCCTTGTGAAAAAGCATCTTTGGGCCACATCTGGAAGGTTCTAGTCGGGATGGGGAAGTCTGAGTAGAGCTGGCTGAGGAATTCTGGGAATTGAAGTCCACAAGTCATAAAAGGGCCAAGTTTGAAGACCCCTGGCCTAGAGCCTTCTCCCTTGAGATAGGAGAACGTCCTGACATCTTCCTCTCTTCTATCCAAGGTCCTTGGATAGGTTGGCTGAGCCTTCAAATGTGACCCTGGCAATGTCTCAACAGGCCGAAATCATCTCCCATCAGCTCCACGAGATCCAGCGCTTGGAGTCGGACGTTAGCGCCCTCCGAGTTTCCTCAGCCCAACAGGAGGCAACCATAGCTGCTCGGGAAAATATCTTGTCCAATCTCCAAGGAGAACTAACATTACTCAAAAGCCAAAACCTTACGGAAGTTGCTGCCCTGAAGACCGAACTGGAAGAAGTCAGGAAAAGGAGTCAGCAAGAAAAAGAGGCCCTAAGGAATGAATTAGAAGAGCTTAGGAAGCAAAGTCAGCTGAAAGCAGGTTCCCTGAGGGAGGAACTGGAGTCAGCCAAGGAAAGGAGCCACCATGAAATCGCCCTGGCGCAGGCAGAGCTGCAGCAGATGAGGGAAGAGAGAGAAGTGGAGCGGAGGAGGCAGGAGGCCAGGGTTCAAGAATGCCGACAGTCAGTGCTGAAAGAGTACCAAACGAAGGTAACCGCAGAGTGCAAAATAGCAATAGCGCTTAGACAAGTGATGGCGAACCTTTTAGAGACTGAGTGCCCAAACTGCAACCCAAAACCCACTTATGCATTGTCGGGTGCCGGGTGGGTATGGCCCATTGGCTGGGTGTGGCCCATTGGGTGGGCGTGGCTGCGGTGGTAACGGCAGACTGTGTGGGACAAAAAAGTTCAATCAATCAATTCTAACTTTGCAAGATCTTTTTTTTTCCCCGCGAGAAGTTGAAATTGACTGATTGAATCTTTTTTTTTTTTTTTGCACATGGCAGCGGAGGCCTAAAGCGAAAAGGTTTTATAAAACCCAGCTGAAGGCCTAGGACTGGGGCGACGGCGTGCGTGCCCACAGAGAGGGCTCTAAGTGCCACCTCTGGCACCCGTGCCATAGGTTCGCCACCACTGGCGTAGACTTATATACCGCTTCCTAGTGCTTTACAGCCCTGTCTGAGCGGTTTACAGAGCCAGCATGTAAACCCCAACAGTCTGGGTCCCCATTTTACTGATCTCAGAAGCATGGAAAGCTGAGTCAACTTTGAGCCAGTCAGGATCGAACTCCATACTATGGGCAGAGTCAGCCTGCAATACTGCATTCTAACCACTGCATCGCCAGGGCTCTCAACAAAACATGTTGAGAGATGATTATTATTATTATTATTTTTAAAAAAGACAGAATAAAATAAGTTGCAAAGCTCTCCGGAAAAGAAAGCATTGGAGAGCAGTTACAGGCAGTCCTCGACTTACAACAGTTAATTTAGTGACGGTTCAAAGTTACAGCAGCACTGAAAAAAGCGACAAGACCATTTTTCATGCTTAACCATTGTTGCGGCATAAACGGCGATCAAAAATCATGGTCACATGATCAAAATCCGGATGCTTCGCAATTGACTCATATTTATGACGGTTGCAGTGTCCTGAGATCATGTGATCCCTTTTTGCGACCTGACAAAGTCAATGGCGAAACCAGATTCACTTGACAGCTGTGTTACTAACTTAACTGCAGTGATTCATTTAACCACTGTGGCAAGAAATGGGGCAAAACTCAATTGTCTCACTTAGCAGCAGAAATTTTGGGTTCAGTTGTGGTCGTACGTTGAGGACTACCTGTGGTTTCAAATAAGACTAATAGGTGAGCCTATGTATCAACTCTCCAGCTTCTCTTTTTCTTCCCACAGTTGGATAAGCTGTCTGAAGTCTATGAAGCTGAAGTGACTTCCCTGAAGCAGCAGATATGTGCATTCCAGGAGGATTTGGAAGCTCAGCGTAAGGAGGCCAGCCAGTTAAGGGAGAAAAAAGATATACTCCAGAAGCAGCTCAGGTTGATTTATTTCTTCATCCCCTCTTCACACCTCTCCCTTCCTTGGTACAGGGATTTTATTCAGGGTCTCTGGTTTCTTTCTTCCAGTGTGACTGAGGCAGAACTGGCTTCCCAGAATGCTTTGGTGCTGCAGTTAAAGACCTATGTGGGGGAGCAGAAATCAAGTAAACCTGGTTTTGAACAGGAGCAGCTGATGAATCGAATACAGGTGAGAACAAATACAGGGCCCTGGCACATCTAGTTCAGCAGTCTGTTCTTTCAGCCAGCTCCATTAAGAAGCCCACTAATCCAGGGGCCCCCAACCTATGGTCCGTGGCCCGGTACCGGGCCACAGCCTGTTGGCCACCAGGCCCCGGGAATAGCTGGCTCCACCCACTCACAGTAGCACCGCCACATGGGCACTAGCGGCCCCATTTGCGCATGTGCGGGGGACACTAGCACTGCTGCCAGAGTCACGTGGGTGCATGTGACCCACTTGTGTATGTGCGCGCATGCTAGTGCCGTCGTGCACAGGACTATCTGCATGGACATTTCCCTGCTGCTAGAAGCACGAAACTGAAGACACCAGCCTGAAGATGACGAATGGGACTTCGTCGAAACGTTGCCAAGACACTTCCAATTCTACGCGGGAGAAAACCTGAATAACTAAAGACCTACATACAAACACCCGCGAAAACCTCAGAATATATATATATATATATATTTGTTTTCGTAGATTTTCACGGGTACAGGTATGCAGGTCTTGGCGTATTCGGGTCTTTTCCCATGTAAGATTGAGAGTATCTTGGCGACGTTTCGACGAGGTCCCACTCATCTTCAGGCTGGAGTCTTCGGCTTCTGTGCGAGCAAAGTGTGATCGGAGCTGCCATCTCTCTATAAATACTGGTGGGGGTGGGTGGAGTGCTGGCTTAGTTGCTGTAGGTGGATTGGTTGGCTGTGTGGGAGCCATTGTTTGTGGAATGTTTGGCTGTTTCGTAACATCCTGAGTAGTTCAGGTGCTGGCTGTGTGACCATTAGTCTTTTGTGTTATAATGACCTGGGTAATGGGTTGTGTGATTACATCCTGAGATCTAGTGTAGTGATATCCTGAGTTTTGTGTTGCAACATCCTGGGTGGTTGGCTGTGTTGTAACATCCTGAGCTTTAGCGTTGTAACCTCCTGAGTTCTGTGATGCGATGTCCAGAGCAGAAGGCTGTGATATCTGGTATGCTACATCACAGCCTTCTGTATATCCTCCTGATACATTCAGGACCACAATTCAGTTCATCGGGTGACCTCTAGTTCTAGAGAACTGAAAGGAAAATAGCATGCACACTGAACGAGTAGGTCATGTTCTTTTATTTCTCTGAACGCAACGCTCCTTGTCTTGCAAAAGTGAGAGTAGTCCTCGACTTAATGACCATAGTGGAGTCCAAAATTTCCATTGCTAAGCAAGGCTGTTGTTAGGTGAGTTGTGCCCCATTTTATGATCTTTTGGCCACAGTTAACAAAGTGAATCTGGCTTCCCCATTGACTTTGCTTGTTGGAAGCTAGCTGGGAAGGTTACAAGGTCTCATAACCCCAGGACAGTGCAGTTGTCATAAATACACGCCAGTTGCCAAGCACCTGAATTTGGTTCATGTGATCATAGTTGTAACGCTGCAATGGTTGTAAGTGAAAAATGGTCATAAGTCACTTTTTTTTTCAGTGTCATTGTAACTTTGAATGGTCACTAAACAAAGTCAAGGACTACCTGTGCGCCATTTTTCTTTTGTTTCAGCAACTTGAGGATGAGAAGGAGGCTCTGAAAATTACAGCTGAACTTCTGCAAGTCCGGGTGGCTTCGTTAGGCGATATCTTGACTCTACAGGAGACTGAGCTTGGTAAAAAGGTGAGACAACAAACATTCTTAACAACAGTGCTGGAGACAGAGTTGCAACTCATTTTTAATTAGACAATTTTTTAAATGTAAAATGTCAGATGGGGTGGTGGGAGCCTAGCAGGATCTAAGAGTGATGTCTATTTTCATATTTCTCTCTGGATACCATGTTGTGCATCGCGGTCCGAGTTACAGAAACAAAAAAAGGTTGGAGGAAGGGATATAGCCTTACTGAAATGATGGATTTCCAGAGGCTTTTAAAAAGCTTGATGATTTTTGAGTTTTGTGTGTGGAAGCTTTTACTTGCATCTGAAATGTCTAGCATTTGTGAGAACAAGACTTTGGTTTTTTTTCTACATGCGACCAATGGTGCGTTTTTCCTCCCTGGTATCTGCGATCCTTCCGAGTAGAAAGGTGTGATAAGTATGTTGGATGTCTGATTTTGTGCTTTATCCTCTCAGGTGCATCTCCAGGACCGTCTCCAGTCTGAGTCATCACAAAAACTTCAGTGCCTGCTGACCAGATGGCGGGAGAAAGTATTTTCTCTCCTGGTGCAGCTGAAGTCTCAGGAGCTGAGCCATAGGGATGACACTAAACGTTTGGAGGAGAAGGTAAGATATATCCATGAAGAGAGACCGGAGGCTTGAATGGATTAGAGCAGGGCTTTTCAACCAGTGGTACAGGTACCACCTGTGGTACATTGGCACCTGGCAGGTGGTACGCGAACATCCTAGAAAAGTGGTAGCGGGGGAGGGGAATAAGCTGAACCGGTGGCAGCACCGCACAAGAGAGATGGCTGGAGCTGCAGGGCTGTCAGGGCTCAGTGGAAGTGCCAGGATCAGCACTTCTTCGGGGCTGTCAGGGCTTAGCAGAAGCACCAGGATCAGTGCCAGGCTCCAGCTGGAGCTCGGCGCTGATCCTGGTGCTTCTGAGCCCAGAAGAAGCACTGATCAGCTGGAATGTTGCAGCATCTCCAGGGTCTTGTGATTTACATTCAGATGCTTGGCAACTGACTCATATTTATGACGGTCACAGTGTCCCAGGGCCATGTGAAGTGACCAAAACCTGCTGCAACCACCCAACAGACGGGGGGGGGGGGAATAAAAACCAAACACCCCCTCACCCCACCCCCACTGCCAATCCTCAACAGAAATGCTCACAACAATGGAAACCTCAGACAGGAGGAAGAGCGCCGCCGGATGGGCAGGCAGGTGTCTTGCTCGGCTGTGGCTTGGGGGGCACTTTTTTCAGTGCCATTGTAACTTCGCACAGTCACTAAGCCAACTGTTGTAAGTCGAGGACTACCTGTACTTTATCACTTTTTTTCCTTTTGGGGGGGGTCATCAAATTTTTGACACCTTGCTAGGCGACGGGTGGTACTCGGATATTGCCATATCCTAAAAGTGGTACCATGGGTGAAAAGGTTGAAAAGCCCTGGATTAGAGTACACACAGGAAATACCAGTTGCCGTGCATTTTACAAATAGAAACTCCTTATCAGACTTTGTTGATTTGGTTGGATTGATTAAATGCATATACTGATCTTCCCAATACATTCCTTGGGAGGTGGGTATGTTCTCTAGAACAAGGCTTTTCAACCAGTGGTATGGGTACCACCTGTGGTACATTGGCACCTGGCAGGTGGTACGCAACCATCCTAGAAAAGTGGTAGCGGGGGAGGGGAATGAGCTGAACCGGTGGCAGCACCGCACAAGCCTGAGCGAGAGACGGCTGGAGCTGCAGGGCTGTCAGGGCTCAGTGGAAGCGCCAGGATCAGCGCCAGGATCCAGCTGGAGCTCGGCGCTGATCCTGGCGCTTCTGAGCCCAGAAGAAGCGCCGATCAGCTGGAATGTTGCAGCATCTCCAGGGTCTTGTGATTTACATTCAGATGCTTGGCAACTGATTCATATTTATGACAATCACAGTGTCCCAGGGTCATGTGAAGTGACCAAAACCTGCTGCAACCACCCAGCAGATGGGGGGAATAAAAACCAAACACCCCCCACCCCACCCCCGCTACCAATCCTCAACAGAAATGCTAACAACAATGAAAACCTTGAACAGGAGGAAGAGCGCCGCCAGGCGGGCAGGCAGGTGTCTTGCTCAGCTGTGCTTGGGGGACACTTTTTTTGGTGCCATTGTAACTTCGAACAGTCACTAAGCGAACTGTTGTAAGTCGAGGACTACCTGTACTTCATCACTTTTTTCCTTTTTTGGGGGGGGGGTCATCAGGTTTTTGACACATTGCTAGGTGACGGGTGGTACTCGGATATTGCCATATCCTAAAAGTGGTACAATGGGTGAAAAGGTTGAAAAGCCCTGCTCTAGAATATCCCAAATGGAGTCTGAGCACTGTAAACTAGGATTTCTAGGTTTGTCAGGAAAGATTGGGAGGAGGAGGGGGGAGAGAATGCTGAACACCTAGATTTTCTGATGAGATGTGAGTAGGGGCTATGAAAAATTCTAGTTGCCTAGGAGGATAAAAGTACTTGACACCATGTGGTGAGGCTGTTCTGCTTACTAGTTAATATGAATGAGGTTATATGAAAAAATCATGGGTTGAATTTGGTTAGTGGGTAAGAGATTGAACCTGAATCAAGAAATCTGTGGTTGAGATTTTGCCTTTAGCTATGAGTTAACTAGATGGCTTTAGGGAAGCCAATTTGAGCCTCAGCTCCTACATCATCTATATTATAATACTGACTCTTTTAAATTAAGAGTGCACAGCCTCTTGACTTTCCAAAGCTTCCCAAAATTTTCTCAAAAACTATCACGAAACGGTATGTTTTAGCGTTACAGAAGGGGGAAGTTATTCAAAACTAATATGGACCGTTCATATTTATATAATTTGATTTCATGTGATTGGTTTTGATCATTGCCGTGCCTTCAGTTTTCACTGGGTCCTGTATTATTTGAAGTGGAGCACACAGTATGCCACTTACATTGCCGATCCAACTTATGGTTGTTTTATTGTTTCTTTGGTTTTATTGTTTTATCCATCTTTGTTTTAGAATCTGGTGGCAGACATGTGAGAAATAAAATGTATAATAATGCACGTAAAAGATTTCACATGCTAGTACAGTATAAAATTTAAATAGCATTGTACAGTACAGTATAAAACTTAAATAGCATTGTATCTGGCCTTATATAGGCTTTTAAAAACCATAAGCCCTCTAGAGTCTTTGGAGTTGGCAGCCTTGAAACCCAATAAATATGAGCCGATTTAGTGTAGTGGTTAAGGTGCTGGCCTAAAAACCAGGAGACTGTGAGTTCTAGTCCTGTTTTAGCTGTGAAAGCCAGCTGGGTGATTTTGGATCAGTCTTTCTCAGCCCACCCCATCTCAGGGTTTTTTGTTGTGGGGAAAATAAGAGGGGGGGGGAAGAGTATCTTGTATGTTCACTGCCTTGAGTAACTTATAAACTAATAAAGGTGGGATAAAAATCCAATATATAAATAAGTGGCTAATTCACTGTCCCCAGGTGAAAGAGCTGGAAGAAGAGGTGGCATCTAGTGAACAGAAAGCTGTGCTGTTGCTCCACAGTCTTGAGGACAAAACTGCTGAAGCTGATATGGGAAGAGTAAGAAACAAGGTAATTTATTATCATGCAACCCCTCTTGAAGCAGAAGGGTTTGTGACTCCCTCTTTTTATTATTTGAAAATGGTTGTCCCTGGAGTGACCGACAGCAATTGGTAATTGATGGAGGAAAATCAGAGGAGGAGGATTAGCTGTGTTTCAGGAGAGATTTTTCTCAGTGAAGGAAAGTGTAAGCCCTGTAGAGAAGGGGTGCGGCTTGAATTTTGATTAAGTGCAGTCTACTTACTCTCTAATGTTCCCTTTGGCTAACCAGTGTGTATGTATTCAAATACTGATTTCATATTCTTGGGTGCACTGTTCCTTTTCCTACAGAGAAGGGTGTTCTGAAAGCTGAGTTTAGTGTGGCCAAAGTAAAAAGTTTATAACAATCCTGAG